ATTCATACATTACATTCAAAATCATATATTTCAAATGTTTATTTTGTTTAATTTTGATGATTACAAATGAYAACAAATGAAAATCTCAAATTCAGCATATCAGAAAATTAGAATATTACTGAAGACCAATAAAAACAAAGGATTTATAGAAATGTTGGCCAACTGAAAAGTATGAACATAAAAAGTATGAGCATGTACAGCACTCAGTATTTAGTTGGGGCTCCTTTGGCCTGTATTACTGCAGCAATGCGGCGTGGCATGGAGTCGATCAGTCTGTGGCACTGCTCAGTGTAGCCCAGGTTGCTCCAATAGTGGCTTTTAGCTCTTCTGAATTGTTGGGTCTGGTGTATTGCATCTTCTTCTTCACAATACCCCATAGATTTTCTATGGGGTTAAGGTCAGGAGAGTTTGCTGGCCAATTAAGAACAGGGATACCATGGTCCTTCAACCAGGTACTGGTAGCTTTGGCACTGTGTGCAGGTGCCAAGTCCTGTTGGAAAATGAAATCTGCATCTCCAAAAAGCTGGTCAGCAGCAGGAAGCATGAAGTGCTCTAAAACTTCCTGGTATGTGGCTGCGTTGACCCTGGACCTCAGAAAACACAATGGACCAACACCAGCAGATGACATGGCACCCCAAACCATCACTGACTGTGGAAACTTTACACTGGACTTCAAGCAACGTGGATGAAGTGCCTCTCTTCTTTTCCTCCAGACTCTGGGACCTTGATTTTCAAAGGAAATGCAAAATTTACTTTCATCAGAGAACATGACTTTGGACCACTCACCAGCAGTCCAGTCCTGTTTCTCTGTAGCCCAGGCAAGACGCTTCTGACGCTGTCTGTGGTTCAAGAGTGGCTTGACACAAGGAATGCGACAGCAGAAACCCATGTCTTTCATACGTCTGTGTGTGGTGGTTCTTGAAGCACTCACTCCAGCTGCAGTCCACTCTTTGTGAATCTCCCCCACATTTTTGAATGGGTTTTGTTTCACAATCTTCTCCAGGGTGCGGTTATCTCTCTTGCTTGTACATTTTTTTCGACCACATCTTTTCCTTCCCTTCGCCTCTCTATTAATGTGCTTGGACACAGAGCTCTGTGAACAGCCAGCCTCTTTAGCGATGACCTTTTGTGTCTTGCCCTCCTTGTGCAAGGTGTCGATGGTCGTCTTTTGTACAACTGTCAAGTTAGCAGTCTTCCCCATGATTGTGTAGCCTATAGAACTAGACTGAAAGACCATTTAAAGGCCTTTGCAGGTGGTTTGAGTTAATTAGCTGATTAGAGTGTGGTACCAGGTGCCATCCATTTTGAACCTTTTCACAAGATTCTAATTTTCTGATATGCTGAATTTGAGATTTTCATTTGTTGTCATTTGTAATCATCAAAATTAAACGAAATAAACATTTGAAATATATGAGTTTGTATGTAATGTATGAATATAATATACAAGTTTCACTTTTTAAATGGAATTACTGAAATAAATCTACTTTTTTCATGATATTCTAATTTTATGACCAGCACCTGTATGTTACATGACCACCTTCATGTTGGAAAATTTTGACTTTGATCCAGTATGGCAGATAATCTGGACACGGCCTGAGAGAGTGGCCTTTCCACCCATTTCTTGCTGGGGTATAAAGGAGTGTTCTGAGTCTTTTGATTTACCAAGTATTTCTTAGATTCATATTTATAATTTTTTTCTTATGTTGATTTAAATAAATATACATAACAATAAGGACACCTGAACACAAACCCACACATGGTAAATGGTAAGTGGCCTGAACTTATATTGCGCTTTATCAAATCCCAACGGACTCCACAATGCTTTATACTACAGTCATTCAGTATACACACATTCACACACTGGTGGTGGCATGCTACATTGCAGCTGCCCTGGGGCAAGCTGCCTTCGCCTTTTGGCGACAGTCAGTAATGAATCTGAGGCATGGAGCCCAAGTGTCTCAAAATTCCTTGTCATGAATGACCATGGGTGCTGCTTCCAAAAAATAATCCAAAAATCTACACTGTGTGCACACTTCTTTGAATGTGCAGAGTTGGTGATGTCATTATTGCTAGTGAGCTTAACTCTAAATGAAGTAATGCTCACTCTAAAGTCTAAATACTTTTCACTTTTCACAATGCAAGTAATGGTACTTAATAAATACAAGTCAGAAGTACAAATTGTTGATGACCAAGTAATGTTAACTAATGTTTGTGAGTCAGGGTAGATACAGTATTGGATTCTACAGTGTAGTTTCTGAAAATATATTAAAGAAAAGCATCAATTTGTTACACAATGACCTGCTTTTCCAGTGATTCATTGTGGTATTGATGTCTACAAAAATGAATTTGTAGTTGTTTTGACAATAATTGACTATATTCTGTTAGATTTTTGTTTAGTATTCTTAATGAATGGTTGTCTCTGACCCTGTAATGAACTTGTAACCTGACCAGGGTGACTGCTGGATATGGGCACCAGCAGTGACCTCCACGATCTGAAAATGAAGAAGCAGGTTAACCAGGCAGGGTTTATGTGTTACCCTCCAAATTGAAACCTTTTGTTATTGTGACAGCCATAAGCCAAATTAGTAGCTAACACACYCGTGGTTGTCACAGTGTCTAATCTGCAGCAATAAGGAGTCTATCAGAGCACGTGGGACATAAAGGTGTCCAAGAAAAGTTTTGTGCTTCAAATGTTAGAGAAAGAGAAACATGGTCAAACATGGAATGAACAAAAGACAAGTACAGATTTTGAGTTGTGTGACTTTAACTTAAGGACACATCAGCTGTGCTTCTGTTCTGAATGTCCATGAAGAGAGTTCTGCCCCGCAGCTTTAATGTCTCTGAATGTGACCGCTAATGAAAAGGCTGAAAATACAACTCAGAAGCTGTTTGTCACACATCTCCGGGCAGAGAGTTTGGCTTTAAACACTAACTAGAGTTGGCTTCTCTCCGAAGGAACGCACACAACAGGACAAAGTCAGCTTCAGACACGTTCTGCTTCCACATGTGATATCAAGTCTGAAAAAGTCAGAATATTTCGTAAAATGCAAATAAAAACATAATGCAGTCATTTGTAAATCTCAAAATGACAGGGTTGCAGGCAGAAAAACCCAGGGCGCAGGCAAAAATCCAAAATGTAACAAAACGTTTATTGAAGAACAAAAAGAGGGATGTCGAGACAGCAAAACTTACAACAGACTTTTCTCAGGAGGAACAGGAAGACAACCACACAGGCTGAGGGGATGCAGCCCAATGAACCAACAAAACACTGATGACAAGAATATAAAGCAAACAAATTAAGAGACAATGAGAAACACCTGGGGAGACACAAGAGGAAACAGTTGAGCRTGGGCAGGGCTGGATATAAGACAGCAGGGAAGAGATACACAGGGGAACAGAGAAACACTGGAAAAATTAAGCAAAAACACTGACCATGACACAAAAACCCATACTTTATTCACACTGGATCATGGTAAACAAATCAAAAGTTGAAACTAAGAAATTGAATAATTTTTAGAACAAAAAAAAGTCAATATTGGATGCTCGTAATCTTGCAGCCCTCAGGCAGAAATGCATCAAAAACAGGTCTGAGTACTCCATGGGCTTTTAAAGCTCTATCATGTAAATAAGACGTCATATGAACAACATCCAGAAACAACCAAGTTTTCAGCACACAGTTCAAATGTCTGCCTCTCTGATGATATGGGGTTGCATTAGTACATTATAGGTAACTTACATGGGTGGAAACCGTCCATTACAACAGCATGACTGTGTAGTACAAAAGCCCATGTGATGAACTGACCTGCCTGCAGTCCAGATTTCTCACCAATTAAAACTAAGGATGCATGATGATGATGATGATGATGAAGATCCAGGACTGTTGAACAGCTGAAATACATCAAACAAGAATAGGAAAAAAACCTATGCAAGAAAGCTCCAGGTCTGCAGTAGTCTGTAGGAGGATTACATCTGGGTGAAGCTTCAGGTGTCGAGAGGCGAGGTGGACACGAAATTCGGAACATTTGTTTTTTTGTTTTTTTTGCCATTTTTAGAGATGCAGTGAGAGTGAAAGCAGCAAGAAAATTCAAGGCCGCTTGTCCCAAAGCAATTGTGTTTATCTTTTCAGAACCCAGCAGCTGCTGGCCTTYGGTTGGCACGTTATCTAAAAATTCCCCGGGAGGATCAACAAGGGCTTTTGTGGACTAACCTTAGTCAACAAAAGATTGTTTAAGAAGATTGTCAAAGGAGATTTGACAGGACTAATACATTTTTGGTTAAAAATGACTGATAATTAAGCACAAATCAAAAATGTAAATAAGCTATGTCCCTATGTAAATATACAGTGTATATATA